ATGGAGAGGAGGAGGACTAGAGAATGACAGTCTGCTAAAATACCTCCGACCGGATATTATCACTACACTCTGGCCCTAGCAAGTCAGTTGGCACCATGGACATTATTGAATTATAGTAAATTTTAAATCTTTTAATGAACACTTGGGAGCCCTGTTAATTGAGGTTCATGTTTTTATGGTTAGGTATAATTTTATGGTTTACTTTTTGTGCCATTTTAAGTCTTATGTTATAATTAGTTGTTTGATGTCAATTTGCTGTGGGATTGGGTGGGCCGTTAATGCATTCGTGTTTATACCTGTCTTGAGGCATTGAATGTTTGCCTCTGTGTTTTTTGTTGTTGGAATCCACCCTGAGTCCCCTAAGGAAGATAGGGCAGAATACAAATAAATTATTGTAGGTTGTTGTAGGTTTTTTCGGGCTATATGGCCATGGTCTAGAGGCATTTTCTCCTGATGTTTCGCCTGCATCTATGGCAAGCATCCTCAGAGGTAGTGAGGTCTGTTGGAACTAGGAAAAAGGGTTTATATATCTGTGGAATGACCAGGGTGAGACAAAGGACTCTTGTCTGCTGGAGCTAGGTGTGAATGTTTCAACTGACCACCTTGATTAGCATATAATGGCCTGACAGTGCCTGGAGCAAACTTTTGTTGAGAGGTGATTAGATGTCCTTGTTTGTTTCCTCTCTGTTGTGCTGTTGTAATTTTAGAGTTTTTTAATACTGGTAGCCAGATTTTGTTCATTTTCATGGTTTCCTCCTTTCTGTTGAAATTGTCCACATGCTGATGAGGAAACACAACATACAAACTATCTACAGACCAACAGAGAGGAAACAAACAAAGACATTTAATCACCTCTCAACAAAAGATTGCTTCAGGCACTGTCAGGCCATTATATGCGAATCAAGGTGGTCAGTTGAAACATTCACACCTAGCTCCAGCAGACAAGAGTCCTTTGTCCCACCCTGGTCATTCCACAGATATATAAACCCTTTTTCCTAGTTCCAACAGACCTCACTACCTCTGGGGATGCTTGCCATAGATGCAGGCGAAACGTCAGGAGAGAATGCCTCTAAACCATGGCCATATAGCCTGAAAAAAACCTACAACAACCCAGTGATTCTTGCCATGAAAGCCTTCGACAATACATTATCATCATCATCATCATCATCATCATCATTATTCACATCTTCACCACTCTGTGATGCTGCTTGGCCACACACCTAAACGGTTCAGCCTGAGACTATTTGAGAAACTGCATTTCTGTATACAAACTAGCATGAGTACTGTTGTGGTTCAATCTGTGATTGTACCAGTCTGAGGTTTCACAGAGGACATTGTGCCAGCATCTGAGAACTCACAGGAGTCTGGTTCTGTTCCTGATGGGGCTGAGATTCTGGGATTGCTAGGCCAGCAATGGATTTGCAGTTGGAGACAGATTCAGAGGCTGACAGGCCTGAGTTAGATTTCTCAAGAGAACCAAGATCAGTCTCTGATCAGAACGTGGTAATTGCAGATGTGTCTCCTGACTCCCCTGTTTCTCCTGAGTTAGATAGAAGAAGAGCAATTTGTCAACAAAGACAAGCAGCTGAAGGAAGGCGGTGCTCTCAGTGCTTGTTAATGAGAAGGGGCCCTTCAGAGAGTTTCCAAGGGAAGTGCCATAGTTTCTTAAGTACAAATGAGGTTTGATTTGGGTTATTACTTAGAGGAGTCAATGTCTGGGTTCAAGTTAAGTGCTTCAAGTTTCTCTATCAAGTTTTCTCATGTGTATGGGGTTCATAGGAGCCCCCGGTGGCGCAGTGGGTTAAAGCACTGAGCTGTTGAGCTTGTTGATCGAAAGGTCACAGGTTCGATTCCGGCGAGCAGCGTGAGCTTCCGCTGTCAGCCCTAGCTTCTGCCAACCTAGCAGTTCGAAAACATGCAAATGTGAGTAGATCAATAGGTACCTCTCCGGCGGGAAGGTAACGGCGCTCCATGCAGTCATGCCGGCCACATGACCTTGGAGGTGTCTATGGACAATGCTGGCTCTTCGGCTTAGAAATGGAGATGAGCACCACACCCCAGAGACATGACTGGACTTAATGTCAGGGGACTACCTTTACCTTTTATGGGGTTCATGGACTCAAGTCTTGGGTTTTCCCATGTGCAGCTTCATGGACTCATGTTTTAAGTATCAAGTGATTTCATGGTCTCCTGTATTACTCCAAGTATCAAGTGGTTTCCTGGTCTTAGTATTTTTGGTTTCATGTTATAGAGCTTGTGTTTTGTTTTGTGACAGACTCCAGTTTAAAGATCTTGCCTGTTTCCTGGACTTATGGATGATTTCTTTCAAGTTTCTTCAAGTGCCTTGTTTTACATGGATTATATTTTGCATTGACTTTGATCTTTTAACTATTTTTTTTTGCTGAAGCTACACTTATTCCTCAATAAACTGCTTTGCTTATAAACTGAGTTCTGGAGTGTGGGATAGGTTTAAAGGTGCCTTTCCAGCCCTGGTATGTAACAAGTACTGCCATCTACAGAGGGGGCCCTGCTCTCGGTCTCACCCCCGTCTGAAGCACAGTTGATGAGCACCACCCCCTAGAGTCGAGCAAGACTGGACTTAATGTCAAGGGGAAACCTTTACCTTTACTTTAAGAACATGTTGACTGATAATTATTTTTATGGAAGGAAGTAGGAAAGGCTTTGAGCAGAGGAAACACTGTGTCCATCAACCAACTTTATTGATTCTTTCAAGCCAAACTCTAGCAAACAGTACAGTTTGAAAGCCGTAACACTTCATACAAAAAGCGAAACATGGATGTAAAACATAGGGCCATACCACTGTACAGCTGCATTCCATATAACTAATGTGATATTAGATATTTGGAGGGTCAATGGAATATGTTTAAGCTTAAGCTATTTTTTTGGGGGGAAGAAAAAAACAACAAGCCCCAGTCTCAAACAATGTGAATTAAAAAGATATCAAAATGCAAAATGTGCATGTCATGCAAGAAGTTTCTATACAAAGTTATTTCCCATATTCTTTCTTTGCCAAGACAAGAATTTGCCTGTTAGAGACAAAAATGGTTTCCCTTTCTTCATCTTCTTGAATTATTCAATGCTAAGAAACCTTGGGAGTTGGCAGAGAAGGCTAAAAACCCATTTCCTTCCCAGCACTGAAACAGAAAGGGTGATGGTGAAAAAATTGTGTGGACAACAGATTGGGCTAAATTGCACTGATCCAGCAGTTCCAATGGCCAGGATGCTCTAGGATACTCTGGAATTTCCTACAAATTCCAGAATACCTTCTTTATAATTTGAGTTAAAGGATACAAGGGCCCCATGCAGCATGAAGACTGCCAGTGCTGGATTCATGATATTGTTTTTTAAATTTTGTAGACGTGTCCCATAGCAGTTAAAGGGAAAGCATAATGCCGCTATTGTGTAATGTGAATAAGCCCCCAGAAATGCTTCCCACATATTTCAGGAAACACACAGTGAGCACATGCCATGTGTATGATTCTCATCCTCTTGGTGGGAGATAGAACAGTGTTTCTCAACCTGGAGGTCAGGACCCCTGGGGAGGGTCACGAGGGAGTGTCAGAGGGGTCGACAAAGACCATCAGAAAACACATTATTTTCTGTTGGTCATGGAGGTTCTGTGTGGGAAGTTTGGCCCAACTCTATAGTTTGTGGGGTTCAAAATGCTCTTTGGTTGTAGGTGAACTATAAATCCCAGCAACTACAACTCCGAAATGTCAAGGTCTACTTTCGCCCAAACTCAACCAGGGTTCACATTTGGGCATATTGAGTATTTGTGCCAAGTTTGGTCCAGATCCATCATTGTTTGAGTCCATAGTGCTCTCTGGATGTAAGTGAACTACAACTCCCAAACCCAAGGTCAATGCTTACCAAACCCTTTCAGTATTTTCTGTAAGTCATGGGAGTTCTGTGTGCCAAGTTTGGTAAATAGTAGGCTGGGCTGTTTACCTGTTACCCTTTCAGTATTTTCTGTAAGTCATGGGAGTTCTGTGTGCCAAGTTTCAACATTTCATTGGTGGAGTTCAGAATGCTCTTTGATTGTAGGTGAACTATAAATCCCAGAACTACAACTCTCAAATGACAAAATCAACCCCCGACCAACCCCACCAGTATTCAGATTTGGGCGTATCGGGTATTTGTGCCAAATTTGGTCCAGTGAATGAAAATATATCCTGCATATCAGATATTTACATTATAATTCATAACAGAAAAAAATTTACAGTTATGTAGTAGTAACAAAAATAATGCTATGTTTGGGGGTCACTACAACATGAAGAAGTATTAAGGGGACGCAGGTAGGAAGGTTGGGAAATACTGGGCTAGAATCATGTGTGGCTTTGGAGGACATTTGGTTGAAGGGATGAGATTGGGAAGATACTGATTGCATGTTGTGGGATCTGGCAAAAGTATGATAGCTGGGACTCTATGCATAGCTGGAATGCATACATTGCTTGCGCAATGTGTGTCAGAATTGATAAAGGGAAGTTCACTTGGACTGCTCCCAGCTGCTGGGGCTGCGTTCTTCGAAGGGCAGAAAGTGTGCTGGCGGCCGGGGAAGGTTTTTACAAGGCACAGTGTGAACAGAGTGGTAGGAACCAGATCCCCCTTCCCTCTTCTTGTGCTTCCCCCTGCCTGTTTTTTGACAATGGAAGAGCTGGGGCTCCGGGAGGGCAGGACCTCCTCCCTCCCTCACAGCTGCATCTATCACTTGTTGCGCTGTCTCACGCATGTGTTCCCTTCATGAATTCTGACCCGTGGTGCACAACCAGCGTAGGGTCCCAGCTATCATACTTTTGCCTGGCATCCTGTTACACTAAATGGTTATAGTGCTATGATTCAACTTTAACTGCCCTGATGACATCCTATAGAATCCTGAGGCAAGCAATTCAAGGCAAGGCACTTTAAATTCTCAGCCAGAAAGTTCTCAGCCTTAGTAAACATGGGATCCAGCCATGGCAATGAAAGTGGAGTAAAAGTGCTATAATAGTGTAGCATGATAATACCCTTAGTGTGAAAGGAGGCATCTCTGTCAACCTTTATAGCAAACATATCAGCTACCACCCCAGTTCCAAGTCTTGGCCCATTTAGGAAGAGGAGGCACGGCAAAATCAAACATTGCATAAGTCAGCATCGCAGCAGCTGCGCTTATAGGACACCTTGAAGGCGTTGTCCCGCTCCTCAGTCCTGTTGCAGAGCTCTGCGTATTTGCCACAGCCGTGTGTTTTGAAGAGCAATACTCTATCTGGAGGAAAGAAAACAGGAGGGGATGAGAAAAAACAAGAAGAGTTAACCATAGCTATGTCATCTCACCACGGTTTGATTGGAAGAGTCTGTTCAGGCTTGCTGAAAATCAACTTGTTTGAAGCCTGCCTTAGATGCATAGGTGACTCTCTTGACAACAATGATACCTCATTCTTGAGGATTTGGCAGGAGGGTGTGTGAATGGCTTTCCTTGTGAAATTGTGTGTAATAGATGAGGTGATATTAAAGATCGGTCTCATCCCATCATGCTATTAGATGCAAAATTTAGAAACATTCCTTTTTGGGCCTTCCCACTGCTCCTCTGGAACGGATTTTCAGTGTTAGCAGACCGCTTTCAAATATGGAAGGAAGTAGAAGAAAAGAAAGCTGTGGTGATGTCTTTGGCATGCAAGGAACTGCTTTGCTCCTCACCCCACTCCCCATTTTGTCCATGCTTTGGAAAAGAAGAAGAGGCTGGAGGTGATAAGATAGGTGACTGAAGGGATGGGGGAGTGGGTTCATTTCAGAAGCTCTTTAGCTTAACACTGCATATTTTCCCTATGTGACATCAATGATCAGAGATAATAAGGGGATGGGCCAGGCTTTAGCACAGCTGGAAAATCACCAGCAGTGATAAGATCTACCAACTGAAAGGTTGCCAGTTTGAAGCCCCAGGTCTGTGTGAGCTCCCTGACTGTCAGCCCAGCCTACTGTTTACCTAAGCAGTTCAAAAACAGCTTGAACTGTAAGTAGAGGAACTGGGTACCACTAACACACATGGGGAAGGTATTTTCTGACACCATAAAGAATTCCATTGTCCATCTTGATTTTAAAAATCCAGGAAGCAAACTTTGATTTTGCCATTTTATATAAAGGGCAACATTTTATACACCACTGTGTATAATAGGACTTGAGCATCCATGTATGTTGGTATCTATGGGGATTCTAGACCTAAGACCCAGTGGATATCAAGGGCTCATTGTATTTGGTCTTACCTGAGTACACCTCGGTTGTCTCACATAGCTGGCCTTCTTTGGCTCTGCAGGGCTCATCCGACTTGAAACAGAGAGTACCAAGTTTATATTTGCAAACTCTGCACACAAGAGATTGAGCTGGAGGAAAGAAGAAAAAAAAAAACCCAGACAGACAGACAGTCAAAAATATATAATAAAATAATGGTTTTCTGTTTTTTTAAATACACACACAGACATATAGATGCCAACTTTTTCCCAAGGAACTGAAGCAGATGTGATGGTTCACTCAATCCCTTAAAGTTTCATCTTCACAACAACCCCGTTATGTAGATTACAGCGAATGAGACTGGCCCTTTATCAGCCAGCAAACCCAATGATGCAGCGTGGATCAGATCTGAACTAGAATATATGCCTGGCAAAAATCAAGTATGCTTACCAGTAGATAAGTATTACCCCATTTCTTCCTTTTTCTGTCACTGAATCAAGAAGACTTCTTTCTTTGCATCCAGACAAAATACAAACTTTAAAACCCCCCACAAAACTCTACTTCTTATTATATTTAATGCCAGTGGCTGTCTGGAGGCTTGTTTGCAGCATTTCTCAACCTGGGGGTTGAGACCCTGGGGGGCATGAGGGGGTTTCAGAGGGGTCGCCAAAGACCATTAGAAAACACATATTTCTGATGGTCTTAGGAACCCCTTTGGCAGAGAAGGCTGAAGATCTCTCCACCTGTCCTTCTCTTCCTTTTTGGGAGCAGATGGCAGATCTGTGATTGGCTGGCCTCTCAGCTGGACTATCAGCCAAGGAGAGGGCTGTTTCTGAGACCCCAAGCAAGGAGGGGAGAGCAGGCGTGGTCGGCACATGGCAGAGTGGTGCATGGGTGAGGAAGAGTGCATGAGGCTGGAGGGAGGCTTGCACCACCAAGTCCCTTCAAGGCGGGGGGAAAGCACCCATGCGATGTGGGACTGAGAGTGGTCCAGCAGCATTAGGAGGAGGAGCAGCAACAGAAGCAGCTTAGATAATTTGTAATCCGTCTTTTCTTTTGGTTTTTTGTTAATGCTCCCATTAGAAAATGCATACGGATGTAGGTGAACTACAACTCTCAAAATGTGGGTCAATCCTCCCCAAATCCCACCAGTATTTAGATGGCCATGTTGGGTGGGGTTCAAGGATTGTAGGTGAACTATAAATCCCAGCAACTACAACTCCCAAATGTTAAGGTCTATTTTCCCCAAACTCCACCAGTGTTCACATTTGGGCATATTGAGTATTTGTGCCAAGTTTGGTCCAGTGAATGAAAATGCATCCTCCATATCAAATTTTTACATTATGATTCATAACAATAGCAAAATTATAGTTATGAAGAAGCAACTGGTTGGGGGTCACCACAACATGAGGAACTGTATTAAGGGTCGCGGCATTAGGAAGGTCGAGAATCATTGATGTATTGTTTCTACAGTGATGTTCTGCCCTATTGAAGTCTTGGGCAGAGAACAGAAATATTTCAAAGAATGAATTATAAACAGGAGAGAAATATTTCTGGGACCAGCCTATGTGTAGTTTCTTTTGAGTCTACTTAATTTCAGTAATAACAAGAGAAAGAAGGAATTATTATTATTATTATTATTATCATTATTATTATTATTATTATTATGTCACCAACTCAACATAGGGCAAGACAGTCCATGCCAAGCATGGGCAAACTTTGGCCCAACGGGTGTTTTGGACTTCAGCCCCCACAATTCCTAACAGGTGGTAGGTCTATGCCCTTTTAGATAAGGTTCATCTCCATTTCCTCGGACTTATATCTGGGATCAGTTTTTTACATGGGTATTTTTAAAGTGTTTGCTTTCATAGAAAATCCGCCTTCTTAAAAGAAAAGAGAAGGATTCAACTCTGAAACTGCTCTAGGCATTGAAATGGTGCTGGGCCATATCCAACAGAGAGATTGTGTCATCTCTGCGGTCGATGGAAATGAATAATACTATGATTATACTAGGGCTGCAAATTTGGTGATGTTTTGCCAATGGAATGTTGTTTTCCTCCAGAATTCACAGTCCTTTGCCAATTATTACATGCCTATTCCAACATGCCCCAAGCAATTGCCATATTGCTTCATGCCACTCATAAGAGAAATAGATGTTAAATAACAATAGTAGATTTTAAGGTAAGAGATGAGTACTTCTTTCTATGGCACACAGGCTATGGAATTTGCTGCCACAAAGTAGACTAATGGATTTTTTAAAAAAAATACATTTTTTTATATTGTTGAATTTTGAGATGCACACTCCATAGATACAGAAGACTGATTGTACCAACATACGTAAGCAAAGCACCCTCTGTGAGGGGTGCTTTGAAGGCGATTTTCCTGCTTCTTGACAGGGAGTTGTACTGGATGGCCCATGAGGTCTCTTTCAACTCAATGAGTCTATGATTCTTTGAAACCACAGCCGTTCCCTGCCATGAGTTGCTGTGGCCCACTCTGGTGGTCATGGGGGTTCTGTGTGGGAGGTTTGGCCCAATTCTATCATTGGTGGGGTTCAGAATGCTCTGTGATTGTAGGTGAACTATAAATCCCAGCAACTACAACTCCCAAATGTCAAGATTCTATTTTCTCCAAACTCCACCAGTGTTCACATTTGGGCATATTGAGTATTCGTGTAGAGTTTGGACCAGATCCATCATTGTTTGAGTCCACAGTGATTTTTGGATGTAGGTGAACTATAACTCCAAAACCAAAGGACACTGCCCACCAAACCCTTCCAGTATTTTCTGTTGGTCATGGGAGAACTGTGTGCAAAGTTTGGTTCAATTCCATCGTTGGTGGGGTTCAGAATGCTCTTTGATTGTAGGTGAACTATAAATCCCAGCAACTACAACTCCCAAATGACAAAATCAGTTTTTGAGTGAAGGACATACATTGGGTTGTTAGGTGTCTTGTGTCCAAATTTGGTGTCAATTCCCCCAGTGGTTTTTGAGTTCTGTTAATCCCACAAACGAACATTACATTTTTATTTATATAGAAGATGTTGAAACAGGACCTTTAGCAGGTACCTATTCTATTGCTGGTCTTCCTTCTCCATGTGATAAACCTGCCCCCCATTATTGATGAGAAAACTAATCAATAGAGGCAGATTGCATCAAGATCCCATCACTTACATGTTATAATGGGACTATTTTGTTTCTGTTCTATTTTGGCCTTTTGGCAGTGGTCAGAATTTAAAGTTTTATTTGATTTTTTTTTTAAATTAAATGTAACTGGAATCACAAAATTTCTTTTTAAAACTATTAGTCAGTAGCCTTTATTTCGGTCAAGAAACCATCGGCTAAGTCAAGTGAAAGTAGAATTATGGAATACAACATTTAAGCCATTAATAACATCACATTTGGCTTATGATTAATGAAAACAAGTATCACCATTCGCTATCGGTTGAATAGCTGTCTTCATAATCTAAGGCAAGAACTGATTGCCAATTAGTAATAAGTCTCCTGAGTACTCTTTGTTACACTCTCAGCATTTACAGGTTATTCATGAAGCACTTGTGCGGCTTTTTGCCGCTGCAAAGAGAAATTTGGCCACCTGTTCTGTTACCCTTTTGTCAAGATCAGACAGTAAATAAGTGCAGTACCAACTTAGGGATCTCCCTGGCCACTTGGTGAGTAGAGGGGATATTAACCTTAGTCTATCATCCTTGTAAATTGTGCAAATAAAAAGTACATGTATTGCAGTTTCGAAACAATATCATACGAAAGCTGACGGGCACAACCTGGGGATCACAACCAGATACAGTGAAAACATCCGCCCTTGCGCTATGCTACTCTGCTGCTGAGTATGTATGCCCAGTGCATACCACAATAAAACAGTGGATGTGGCTCTTAATGAGACATGCCGCATTATCACAGGGTGTCTGCGCCCTACACCACTGGAGAAATTACACTGTTTAGCCGGTATTGCACCACCTGACATCCGCCGGGAAGTAGCAGCCAATAGTGAAAGGACCAAGGCAGTGACATCTCCAGCTCATCCTGTTTGGGTATCAGCCAGCACAAGACTTAAATCAAGAAATAGTTTTCTAAGATCTACAGAGACACTTGCTGGAACACCTCAGCAAGCGAGAGTCCAAAAGTGGCAGGCTCAAACCCAGAACCTCAATCAATGGCTGATACCAAATGAGAGACTCCCCTGGGCACACAGAAAACTGGGTGACTTGGAAGGCACTGAACAGACTGCGCTCTGGCACCACGAGATGCAGAGCCAACCTCAAGAAATGGGGCTACAAAGTGGAATCCACGACATGCGAGTGTGGAAAGAGCAAACCACTGACCACCTGCTGCAATGCAACCTGAGCCCCGCCACATGCACAATGGAGGACCTTCTTGCAGCAACACCAGAGGCACTCCAAGTGGCCAGCTACTGGTCAAAGGACATTTAATCAACTACCAAGCTTGCAAACTCTGTTTCGGAGAAATGCCTCTAGAACATGGCCATATAGCCCGAAAAAACCCACAAGAACTTTCTGTTTCGTCTGTTTGTTAAAAATTTGTTTAAAATGTTACACAATTGTCTGGTGGCTACTGACACAATTAATAAATAAACAGTTTCGATTTCACCCTTCCCTCAAGGGCAAACTCTGTGTTCATATTCAGTCCCTTTGTATCTACCCTCTACTATGGCTGATTTTAGGGCATTAAACCTGGCCCAACGAAATTTTGGGATATTTAAATTTTCTAAATATTTGGCACCTCCCAAAGAATTAAATATTAGGCCTAAATTCAATTGAGAGCATGTGGAGATCATATTATAATTTGCAGGGCAGCAGAAGTGCAGGAGGGTTATAAGGGTATTCTGAAGTATGAGTGCAGGACCACAAATCAACAAAGTGACATAGCTGCGTGAAAGCAGAGACACAAGATAGCTAGGGTATTTAAGTTGGTATGTTGGTGTTATCAGTGATCACACAATTGTGATGAGAGGCTTTGTGTGATAAAATCTTGGATTTCAGAAACCACAACACAATTGTTTCAGAGCTGTTTTGCAACTTTATCATCTCTTGCTGCCTAATGCCTACAGCAGTTCTAGAGGGTTGTCTAGGCTGCTTCCTAGAAGCGCAGATCTTTTCTTTATGTCCGACGACTCT